GGGGAAATGTTGAACAGAACATACTATAAAGAAAAAATAAAGAACAATTATTTTTATCAGCCATATTCATTTAGGGAGGGGATCATACATTCCACAGGATTAGATCTGGGGTTGAGTGAGGGTTTTTCAAGTTCACCTTTCCATTATTTGTGTTACCTGGAGTAAGTCCTTTCTTTACCTTTCCCATCATGGCCCTAAATCTGGAGTTTGACTAAGTTCAGAGCCCTCCTATATGCCTTTTGGCTGAGCAATTTAGGGCGTGTTATTTAAACACAAGTCTTAGTTTCTTGTGTGAAGGTTGGAGATGATAATAAATACCTCATAGATTGTTATGAGACTTATATTAGATAATCCATGTTAAGGTTTTAGCACAATGCCTGACACATAGGAAGCACTTAATAAATAGAAGCTCCCTGAATTACTATCTATAAAAATAAATGAATGGACTAAGTGGTCTTCAGCATCTGCAGCTACTCATGTCTCCTCTAGCCTCAACTCCATATTTTGACAGCCTCCCCAACTTCGACATCTCTCTTCAGGTTCAGCCTCCACCTGTAACAAAGGAAGCAATAAGATGACCAGTGAGGCAACAGAGATGAGTGTGAAGATGTGGTGATGCGGGCGAGGGAGGGAGGAATAGGGCTCAGTCCTCCTACAGCCACCCCCAAGACTGTTGGATATTGAGCCCAAGCATTTGACCCCCCCGGGATGCAGGATGAATGTGTTTGTTATAGGGAGCTTGGTCAATCCACCTAGCTCATTTTTTACCTTTAATGAATAGAACACAGAAACTGTCAGACTGCTTGTGTCTGGTGAATGGAATAATATGCATGAATGAGTTTTGTAAGCAGCACAGGTCAGATGTTGCTGTTTTTGCTGCTGTTGCTATAACTGATAAACACCTTCTTTAAAAACCCAAAGGATATGGGCTCTTTGTCTACTTTCTTTAAGCCAGCAGTAGCTGTTTGGATTAAACCAACCATTAGGCTTGAGGAATGTCTATCTTATCTACAGCTTCTCAAAGAAAAAAGAATCCTTCCCCAAGGCAGTATAAACTAGAGATTAATAGTACAAGTTCTCGGGTTTCTGGATTCAGTTCCTTTCTGGTTATGTGTGGTCTTGGGCAAGAAGTTGCTTTAACTTCAAGCTTCAATTCGCCCTTCTTTACAATGGGAATGATGCCCTGGCTGATTAGCTCAGTGGTTAGAGCATCCGACTGCACATGGAAAGGTCACAGGTTTGATGTCCATTCAAGGACATGTACCTGAATTGTGGGTTCAATCCCTGACCATGGTCGGGGCATATGTGGGAAGTAACCAATTGATGTGTGTCTCTCACATCAATGTTTCTCTCTCTCCTCCTCCTCTTCCTCCTCCTCTAATTTCTCCTCCCCCCTCCTCCCTTCCACCCTCTCTGAAAAGCAATGGGAGGGAAAATATCCTCAAATGAGGATTAACAAAAAATAAAATAGGGATAATGATTGTATATACACAGAAGGATGCTATGAATATTAAAGGAAGTGATGAATGTAAGGTCTTGGCTTAGTGCCTGGAATGGAGGTATACTATAAGGGTTGGCTATTACCATTATTAAAATAATAGAAGAAATAATACAGACAGTGTTATCTCTATTTTAACTAATTAAATATTATCTACAAATATAGGTAGCATTTTCTATCGCTAACAAAGGCTTCATCAAAAGGATGAGTAGTGGAGGAAAGTGGCAAAGAAAAGGATGCGACGAAGCAACTCAGCTACATGGAATCCGTGTACTGTGGTCATTTCTCAAAATCCTCAAACCTGTGGAGGCTGCTGCAACACTCCCGGCCCCTGGGATCAAAAATTCAACTTAAAATTAGTCCAAGCATCATCCTAATGCTTCTATTTGAAATGTTGTAACCAGAGCTTTCCTATTATTGACCCTAGAGAGAAAGGAAGTACTGAGTAGTCAGGACCTCCTATTGGAGGACTGAATACCCCCCACACAGCTGTAATGAGATGTGTCATCATACTGAAGCCTAAATCTGGGCAGTGCCAGGAAGCCTGCGGAGATTTATCAAACCTACTCTATTCATTCACTCGCAAAGGTGGCATCTCTTCCGTGACCAATGGGATTTTTGAATAGAGAGGAAAATTTGAAATGTGGGAGTCAAGGAAATAATTAGATCAATATTGTCTATACCAGGGGCTGGAAAACATTTTCTGTTTGCGCCAGATAGTAAATATTTTAGATGTTGTGAAACCATATAGTCTCTTTCCCACCTACTCAACTCTGCTGTTGTAGTGTGAATAGCCGAGGCTGTGTGCCAGTAACTCTTGATTTACAAAACAGGTGGCTGGCTGGATTGGCCCATGGGGCATAATTTGCTGAGCCTTAGTCTACATGAGGGACTTAATGCAATGACTCAAGTTGTCAGAATGACCTGGGCTAAAGCTCAGATAAATCAAACCTGATGTCAAAGTGTGTGTTGACTAGAGATTAGCTGACCTAACACATGGGACTTCAGACCGAAAATGAAGAGAGAGGCAATAAAATGCTTAAGTTGAAATGGAGAAACTTAGCTTCTATAGAAGAAAATAAGAATAACATGGAAAAAAATTGCATCATACATGACTCAGTAATTCACATTGGAAACTGGGTAGGGCTCTGAAACATTATTCGCAGCCTTATTTTTCTATATTCTAAGGCAGCAATTTTCAACCAGTGTGCTGCAAGCATTTTTAAAACAGGTAATACCTGACTATTTAGTCAGGGGCACTGACCTCTTTTCCCTTAGATTGTTAAATTTTAAAAATGACATCAGCCAATACAACAATTACCATCCCGTGTGAATGAATCGAAATTATACCTATTTTTATCATTTCAGCAAAAAATATATATATTGTGTGTGTACTGCAGAATTTCAGTGATTAGTTTGTGTGTCATGAGATGAAAAAGGTTCTAAGGTTCAGAGCATGATTAATAACTCAGCAAACACACATTTCTGTTTGCTGGGGACTGTCCTAGTGTGCCCGATGTTCCTGTGTAATTATCAATAGTATCGCTTTTTAAAGAAGTCTCCTAGGCCTGGCCGTTATGGCTCAGAGGTTGAACCTCGACCTATGAACCAGGAGGTCACAGTTCAGTTCCCGGTCAGGGCACATGCGTGGGTTGTGAGCTTGATCCCCAGTGGGGGGCATGCAGGAGTCACCCAATGGTTCTCTCATCATTGTTGTTTCTATTTCTATCTCTTCCTTCCTCTCTGAAATCAATAAAAATATTTTTTTAAATGGCCCTTTCCACCCAGTTTCAAAGGGCATTGTACCAAGTCCAGTGATACATTCCATTTATTATTTAAATGCAAATCTCAGATAAACACAAGTGTAAACCTTAAGTGAACATATTCAATATTAGGGTTGTTTTATAATCTGAAGCATCACATTTACCTTGGACGTAGGCGCTTGATTCTTTCTCGAGCTTGCTTCTGTTTTGTGGTGAGCCCATTTGTCTGCTTTCTGTGAAGTGTCTACCTGACTCTTCTCTGTGTGGGCGCTCTGCGTAGAGTTCAGTATCCCATTAATTCTGAACAGTTCACATACAAATAGGTAGTTTAACCTCACATATTTCCCCAAGGCCTGAGGAGGTTGAAGCAAATATAAACAGGCTTGGAGGAGCTGCTGAAATTTTTAGCTGAGCCTTTAAAGAAATTCTTTTCTCCCCGGGACTTTCTGGCGATGGCTGTAATCCAGCTCAAGTGCTCCAGCGCTGTGTACACTGTTATCCTCCCTCCTTGATTCAGGCTCTCCGACATCCCTGGCTGTTTGAATTACACACCACAGGGATACACAGGGTGGACGATGCTAGTCCATCGGGTTGCATCAATCGCTTCTTAGATCCCTTTTCTGATTCTATTATTCTGTGGCTGCTGAGCAGCCTGTTGTGTGGTGTGTTTTTTTCCATTAGAAGCTCACACACAGACATTTTTAAAGAGCCTATTGTTTTGAATGAATTAAGATAAAAATTAAAGCGAAAAATAATTTTAAGGGGAAAGATAACATGAAGTGTGACAGAGATATTATACTGGTAATATATCAAACCTAAAAGAATTTTGTGTCAATAATGGCAACCAATATGAAACCAATATTTATCAAGCATCTACTGTGTTCCAAGCACTGTATGTGTTGGATGATGATGATGATGGTGGTGGTGATGATGATGCCAGTAATAGCAGCTATATTGCTCAGGACTTGTGACCACACAAATGAGGGAGGCATGGGCCCGGCCCTCCTAAAAACTTATGAGCCGGCAGGAAGAGCAGACATTGAACAAATCCTTCCAAGTGTTACCTACTCTGTGAAATTGCAGGGTACAATGAGAGTCAGGGCAGACTCCTCTGAAGAGTGACTTCAAGGACTAGCTACTCAAAGGGAAAGCAGGGTTAAGTTCCTATGGCATCTTGTCAGCATTATAATGAAATGACATTGAATGAAATATTACTTGAGGACCTACTGTATAGCATATAGACAGATGAGCATGAAAGAAATACAGTCACTACTTTTGGATCAGGCCCACAGTATTTCATTCTCGGGATGCAAAATTTTAAGTTGGTCTTTGTCTAGTTCTAACCAAGGAGGAGCACAATTTATTACCTTAAATTAACCATATAGTATTTTGCCTGATAGGCACTTTATAATAACTAGATTTATTCTACGTGCCAGTTTATACCACTTCTAAAAAATTGTCATGGGTTCTCAATATAAAGCAGAAAGTTGTTTTTGTATTTTCTGTTTATTGTTTCCATCTCTTTGCTTCTGAAGATAGAACAATTACTGATGTGAATGAAAGCTGGGATATGAAAGAGCATCTCCCTCCTATGTCTGCATTTTCTATATGCATATTTATGCCTGTGTGTGGCATAGATTTCTACATTATTAGATTTCAAAGAGTGATGGAAAAAGAACATTTTGAAAACAATTCTAAGACTAATTTATATTAAAGACATTTCTTTTTCTCCTTCATAGCTCCATCATCCATCCCAGGGCTTCCGCTTTGGAACTGTCCGGGAAAGCAGTGCTGAAGATTATGTGAGGCAAAGCTTCCCCGAGATGCATGAGTATATGAGAAGGTACAATGTACCAGCCACCCCCGATGGAGTGGAGTATCTGAAGTGAGTGTCAGCCTCTTGGGGCCAAAAAGTTCTCACTGAGGCAATGTTTGTTGTTGTTTTTGTTCTTGTTTTAAATGACAGTTCAACATACCTACTGTGTGTTCAGTAATACCTCACACTGTGTGAGATCCAGGAGACAGTATGGAATAGTTTGCATTTGATTATGGGACTAAGATTACTGCATAGTCCCAAATTAGGAGTAGCTTTGCTCTAAATGCCAGTGGGGTCATTAGTGGAGCAGATGGTGGGAGAAGCAAATGTTGGCTTGACTTCACTTGAGAAAACAATGGTGCAGAAATGATAAAACACTCAGGGAATGTGGCCAGAAGAAAAAGTGTCCCAAAGCACCCATTTCCTTCACAGTGAATCTCTAAGCCCATGGACTCTCTCCTTTTTTCACAAGGAAGAGGGATTTATCTTAGAGATTTCCTGTAGACAGGAAATAAGATAAAAAGCAATGACCCCATGCCTGCATCCTTCCCATCAGAATCTGCGAGAAGCAATCCAGAGCAATGCCATTGCCATGGCAGATTACTGGAGCCTGTAATTCAGTGAGGCAGAATGCAAAGGAGAGTGAGTAGGTACGGATCCGCTCATCTAGTCGGCCTGGGAGAGGGGAAGGAATGGCTCCCAATAAGCACCCAGCATGAGAGTGAGTAGTCCTCTCCCTCCTGCCTAATGGTCCCAGGGCAATGACATACAGTCAATCCTCCAAACCCTAGAATTGCACAGCATCAGGGACCTGGTTTCTCTATGGTTGACCACAATAATCTTCCCAAATTCTTTTTTTTTAAGAAAGAAGGAAAACAAATAACTTCATGGGACAGAATGGCTGGCTGTGTGTTTCTCAAGATCCCTAGTAATAGGCCCCTAAAACAATCTTATGGGCTTTAAACTAGAGTCTAGAGAGGAAGCCCGGTGCTCTCAAATTTGCGACGTTATATATGATGCTCAAATACTATGAAATGGTACTTTTATTTTTGCAAAAACATTAGCGTCCCTCTAAGACACAGAGTTAAGTGCTCCTTGGCCTCCCTGCTCCTCTTCTGTATTCTCTTCTTCGGGCAAAGTCGTGGCTGAGAGAGAGAATAAGATGTCAGGGAGATAATAGTGGCTTCCAGCTAGGTATCACTGACTGACAAACCAGGTTCTTCTGGCACAAACGGGTATGATGGGCCACTGGTGTTCTACCCAGCTCCACCTCACTCAGGGCATTCATTTATTCTAGACGCTTCACCTGAGAAGGCCCTAATGCTCAGAGTTGACGCCACTCCAGCCTGGAGAGAAAAAACAGGTAGAAAGGCAGGTGCAGATGAAGAAATTGAGGCCCAGAATAAGCAACTTGTTCATGGTAATACAGCTATCAAGTGGCAGACTCAGGACTAGAATCACGTCTCTAGAATCCAACCACAATAGGCTGGTCTAAGAACCATAACAGAAAAGTAGGACCCAGGTGGTCAAAGAGTAGTCCATGTTCCAGCAGCATCCGTGTTCCACTTGTGGCCTAGTCACTGCCTGAGCTCTCAGCCACCACTCCAAGCAACTGCAGTCCTCATGTTACCTACCTGATATCCCAGAGCCCTGACCTGCAGGGCCCAACCCCTGGAGTCCTCTGTACAGGAAAGGTTCCTCCTGTGTGAAACCTGTCCCTCCCTCTCCTATCAAAATTCCCCTGGGCTTAGTCCTACTCACTTAGGGCCCTGATTTCTGAGATGATGCTTTTCTTAAAAAGTAATCCCTATTTAAAGTATTCATTTCTTTTAGTATGTTTACATGTGACTATGTTTTGTGTTTTATGTATTATGAAATGAATGTTCAAAAAGAGCACGAGTCTATAATGAGAGGAACCCCTGGAGGCTCTACCAACTATAAGGATGATTCAGCCAGACTAGAAGCTGCTTATACCCAGCTCACACCCAGCCACTTCCTCACCAGTGGCTCAAGGCCCCATGAGAGTCTGTGAGCTGGTTGCTTCTTGCCTCCCCATGTAATAGAGACCTGTCACAGCTAGCCGCACTTTGCAGTCTGAAATCAGTAATTATTTAAGGATACCACTGAGAATGGACCTCACGAATTATTTGTTAGGAAAACTGAGCCCCAATTTTTATTGCAACCGCAAATATTTGCAGAGTATTGGTAAATGGTGACTTGTTGCTCTATAGCTCCCAAGGTAAATTCTGCTAATATAGTGGTAAAACTTCAGAGAAACATCTTTCAATTCTACTTTTTTATTTTTATTGCCAAGATTCCATTAAGGTTCCTCATCCTCGGTTCCTAGGAGAGCCCTTTCTGAAGCTTCCCACAGCTGTAGAGCTAGGAGATGTTCTTCATTTGGGTAAAGTTAAACATGGGCCTCATTGTACCTTAAATCCAACACCCCGTGGCAAAGGGGATGGATTGTGAATTGGTGATTCTACTTCCTGGAAGCGTAGAAGGAGGAAGCAATGGTCACTGGCACCAAGAAGGAACTTGACCTACTTACTATATGTCCACGTGTGCCCCAGACAAAGCCATCCATGTAAAGATGCACATCTGCCCAATGATGAATCTTAGAGTCTGGGACTGGCTTTCTCTTTTAGATCTTGATGGGCCCTGGCTGTGTTCTCTGTAATGAATTCCAACAGCCTCATTTCTGGCTCTAAGTGAGGAATGACTGAGCCCAGATGGGGCAGAGACGAGTTGTTTTTGCCCAGCTGTTTGGACAACCCTGAGAGTTAGAAAGCCTTTCTTAGATGGATGGATGTCCACATCTTTCCAAAAAGGATTTGAGGAGACTGAAAACAAGAGTCATTGCATACAACTTAAACAATTCTCTTTGGAAACTCCCTTTTCCTTACCCTCCCCCTACTTTATAAGTGGGAGTTCCTCTGGACCATCTCTGTGCCTGGATCCAAAAAATGGGGGGAAACACAGAAAGGACGCACAAGGCATCTGTTGGCATCTTAATCCCAGCCCATGGCTGACTCACTGATACTATCTCGGGACACCTGCTTAAATGATTCTTGCCAGAACTGCTTCCTGGGATGAGAGTGAGACATGAATCTCTGGAGATAAATTAATAAAACAGATTACTAAGATCTATCACAGATTGTTCCCCTTGCATTTATTGAAAGCTAGCGCATAGACTTTAAAGAGACCTTAACTCCCTTTCCCCCAGGAATGCTAGATCTCTTATTTGCATTTCCTTATATCTCCTCCTAAATGTGAAATAATGCCGGGTCTCTGAAAAATAGGATAGTGATCATGACAGAAAGAAATAAAAATATCCACGTGCTGATAATGAACCCACCTCGCTCCAACACTGACTCGCTATGTAGCCTGGGTCAAGTTACTTTGACTCTCTGAGCCTCAGTGTCCTCATCTCTTAAAATGGGATAGTACCACCCTCTCCTGATTTCATGTCAGTGATGGAATGTATGGAGAATAATAAATACAATGCCTAGCACACAGAAGGTCCTCAGTCAGTGTAAGAGAAATGAACCTTCTTGTTCAATTCAGAGTCACTCTGGCTCATTGGTTGGCTCTAGAAGTAATGGTGGATAAACCCGTTGGAAAGCGGTCATGCTCTCTCATAAGAGAGGCTCTTTCCCCTGGTCTCTTCTCTACAGGTCAGTGAGATGCCAACAGGGCTGAGTCAGCAGCTAGCTAGCTCTTGCTGCCCTTCGTGTCCAGGTTTCTGTCCCCTAAACAAACGCCGGCCGTCAGCCTTCATGCTTCCTGTTCATTAAGGAATCATTTTTCACTTTTCTTCTCTTGGTCTCAAATGTAGGAATGATCCAGAGAAACTAGACGCCTTCATCATGGACAAAGCCCTCCTGGATTACGAAGTGTCAATAGATGCTGACTGCAAACTCCTTACGGTGGGGAAGCCATTTGCCATAGAAGGTATTAATCAGTCACTCTTAATTCACTCTTCGTCGGGATGTGCTCATTTTGCCAACCTAGCAAGTCACAGATGCCAAAGTCAGAGGCAAAATGCTATTCATCTTCCCTGGTGTTCATTTTCAACGCATAAGCACTTAGCTATTAAGTTGCTGAAGTTAGGAATTTATTTTTCACCTACTCCACAAACATGTATTTACCCCTGTTAGGAAGAGGGGGGTGGGGGGGAGAAAACATTGTTGTTACTCCAGTGATGTTGCTGCAGATAGCTGGGAGTGGTGGCATAGTGTCATAAAGGGGGAGTCCAATTTTAAATTAATCTTTATTTTCTAATGGCCAAACCCAGTAATGAATCCGATGCAAAAAACTAGAATGATTGCATTTTACCACTGGAAGGACCCCAATGTTGAGCTAACCTAATCTACTCACTTTATACACAAGAAAGCCTGGGGACGTTACATCACTTTTTCATAATCACACAGTTAGGTGATAATACTGAAATTAGAATCCCAACCTCGTGGCTCTTAAATAAATGTTTTTCCTACTAGTTGGTAAACAAATAGAAAAACATCTCATTCTGTAGCTTAGTAACCTTAAGAGTACTAATAAAACCTTGTTTGGGACCTCAGGTTTGCCTCTCTCCCCACTGACAGCAAACTTTTCCTTCCAAGTTGATCCTCCAATCAATCAAACCTCAGGACCAAAGAAGGATTGCTTTGTCAGGGGCTCCTTTCATTCTGGACAACAGTTGATATATGGAGCTGGTAGTTTGAACCAGCAAATTTCATGTCTCCCAGCTCTCAGCTTCCCTCCCCTGACAGTATACCCTGACCCTCAAGACAGCCATGTTCACTTGTCAGAAAACACTTTAACTTGAAACAGTCCCAGGGCAGGTATCCAAGTCCTGTTTTCATAAAACTGTATTTTCCTGCATGTTAACTAGTGCAGCAAGGCTATTGTGATCCCAGTTTTCCAGCTATAGCTGGTCTCTGTCTCCCCTAAACACATCAGCAAATTTTGTACTTAAGTCTTTGCTTTTGTGATGAATGAGAATATAACAGCTGATGCTATTTCTTCATGCCTTCTCCTCAGAAAAAAAATCAATCTCCTCTCCAGGCAGAGTGACCTCCACCTGAACCAGGAATAGAATTCAGGAAGAGAGAGATTACATGGTAGTGGTCTTCTATTAAGGCTGCAGTCTGAGCCCAAACACGAGCGTGGCTCAGTGGTTGAGCACCAACCTATGAACCAGGAGGTCACGGTTCGATTCCTGGTCAGGGGACTGCCAGGATTAAAGGCTCGATCCCCCATGTGGAGTGTGCAGGGAGCAGCCAATCAATGATTCTGTCTCATCATTGATGCTTCTATCTCTCTCTCCCTCTCCTTTCCTCTCTGAAATCAATAATATATCTTAAAAAAAAAAAAAGACTGCAGTCTGAGATAGCAAAGTCACAAAAAAGAAAAAGAAGAAAGTTTAAAAACCCAAAGAACATTTATTATATAACCCCATTTTGATGTAGCAATGGAAAATTCCCATTTTTGTGTGTGTGAATTCTGTAGGTATAGAAGGGATGTTACTTTCTTTCTGTCCTAGATTCACTGGGTAATTGAGGTCCCTTCTGCCATTAGCAGCTACTAAACAATGAATCATTGAGTGGGGGCATAAGAATGAGGGACTCCACTTCCCACCTTCTCCACTTCAGAGAGCAACGCTATCTTGCCAAAAGGCTGTGGTGAGATGGCTTGTTTGCCTCTGCTGGACCCCAGTGCCAGATGCCACACAATTAACTCCCGCTGACTCCCTGTTTACATTTCCATCTGAGCGCCTGAGACTTCTCGCCTTGCCATTCTCGTCATCTCCAGGCACCACAGTGTCTTCAAAGGGGATATGCACAAAAATGGCCCATGGAAGAGCTCTCCCTGCAAGAGAGCAGAAAGGCTGCAGACTTGAACAGAGAGAGCATTCTCATCATCATTGTTGGTTTGTTCTGGGGAGGCGGGGAGAGGGCAGGGAACTATTGCTGATTTATTCTGGGTGAGGTGCAAATCAGAAAATTTAATTCAATACTGCCCCTGGCAACAACTCCACAACCTAAAAACAGAACTTGGTAAAACACAAAGAGAAGTTACTTCTAAGTTATAATCAGCAATGTGATGAAGATACTAGGGAAAGGCTTGATTGCTACTCTTGGAAAAAGCATGTTAATTTATAGATTTTTAGGAAATATCTCAATCTCTCTCTCTCTCTCTCTCTCTCTCTCTCTCTCTCTCTCTCTCTCTCTCTCTCTCGTATCTTCATTGTTGAAAGTATTTCAGATGCCCCCTTCTTTTTCCCTGTTGATCCCCCTCCACGCCACACCCCCTACCACAGGCCTACTGCAGGGAATCTTTCTCTCTTAATAAAATTTTAAAAAATATTACCTGCTTTCCTCTAACAACATTTAGGTTTCTGGAACTTATGAAAATGTAGACTTTATTATTAATTCATTAGATTTTATAGGCATGAAAATATCATCAAAGCAATTTATGAACAATTTTTACTTACAGGACTGTTGCATATGTCTGGTTCCTTCCACAGGATCTAGGCATATAACAGTTATGTGATACATGATGTACTACCCATTACATAACTCATTAGGTTAGATTTGAAATAAGTACTTAATTCAGTCGCTAATGTAGTCATCAAAAGAACCCTGATGTTCTGCATGCACTTTTCCAGGTGCTTAAATGACTTTGGGAACTTAGGAGGGAAAATGGAGTACATTGATTTCTTCACGCTCAATGTACATTCACTCTGTATAGTACTGATATCACACCACCCACCGTGACTACTGAATGCACCCCCAACTTCACCATTCACCATTGATTTAGGCTGGAAAGATAAAAGGTGAGGCAAATGAGAGAGACAGTGGCTCCACGCTGAGTTTGAAACCTTTTCATGAGTACTTAGCACAGCAAACCAAAACTATTAGGAATTTCAGAGCATGTGGAAAAGTCATTTCACATACTGTATACACCAGAGAAAACAACGACATAGTGTGTGCTCTGCGGGTTGGGGAAAGGGGAAGAAAGTGTTGAGATAAATGAACACATGTCCCAAATGTATGCATTGGAGTGAGCTGACAGTAAAAGTCAAACGAGAAAAAAGAAATGGAGCTGCACAGTAATGATTTGTGACCTTTCTGCCCAAGACCTGTGCCCGTTTTTGAGTTCGTTCTCTTACTTGTTTCCCACTAATTATTGAATACAGTGCTTGGAGCACCAGCTGTGAATGTGAGTGCTGGGGTTAGAGCAGAGCTGCTGTTACTCCTGTCTACGCGGGGCAGGTCTCTTAATCAGGCCTTCAGGTTCCTCATCTGCGTAATGGGTTTATGAACAATATATCTAGGATAGGGTTGTAAAGATTGGGTAAAGTCAGACATGTAAAGTATGTACAAGCACATAGAAAGTGCCTCATCAATTATTATTCAATATTTTGAATTAAGAGATTAAGACCAAGTCACATAAAATTGTCCCAGGTAGATAGCCTTCAGATACTCAGCTTCTCCCACACACTCTCTCCACTTCGATGTGCTGGGGATAAACGAACCTCATTTTTAGTGTCATCTTTATAGTTGAGACTATTTCAATATGTTCTCAACCATTGCCCCAGAGTAGCTAAATATGGTATTCCAAGGACTGGCTGCAAAACTGAATTAGTCTTTCTTAGTCTTTCTTCCTGAACTCCCCCCCTTTTTTTTTTGAATGCTACCTGAAATCTTATTTTCAAAATATCTATTTTCCAACCACATTTCAGGAAGTTCTCTTAATCCATGAAATTTTAACTGTACATTTCCTAGCCAAAATATATTTCTACCACTCTTAGCTGAGTAAAGCTGATTTATCCATGGGGAAAAGATCGGGATTCTATTCTGAAAATTGTTCTTTTGGGCTATTAAGCTGTATGCAATTTCCAGGGTGCCTGATGCCTTCATCTTTAGGGTTGAAGGATTCCATTTTGCTTCATCCATCAACCACAAAATAGTCAACCTCGTCTTTATTGCGAAGCCATGTTTCTAATGATAATGAAAGCAGCTCAGGCTGCTAAGTTGAGTCAGCAATTTAAAAAGAAGAATTCTTTGACCAACGAACACATCAAATTCGAAAAGCAACTGATAAAGAGAGGATGGAGCTGAAACCTATGAAACCTTCTAACGTTTACTATTTTATGTTTCTGAATAAAATGGGATTTTATGTCTTTTAACAAGTACCTCTCCTCATTGCCATGTAACTTTTTTCCTATTTCTCCCCTTGATAGTTTGTTTTAATTATCTAATAATTATTATTAATGTTAAAAGTCATTAACATGACAATATTCAATCTATGCAGTAAAATAGATAATTAAAAAGGACAGTAATCTATTTTTAGCAATCGCAGCTTAACTTTGACATGATGGAGTGGAGTGATTTAAAATTTATTATTTCCTATGTAGCAATTTTTTATAAATGTCTCTGCAACTTCAACATAGCTTTTGCCCTGGGGCAATTTTTAGACTTTTGTTGTAGTGCCAAGATTCCTTTCTTAGAATATGTAGATTTATTACAAGTATTAACTTCAGATTTTTAAACTGTCTTATCATGTATTTTTGTCACATCTTCCCAAAATACCATGGTAAGAATCAGTCTCAAATGTCTTCTCTCATCCTCTCCTATGATAGCAACCTATCATTCCTCTGAACTCCACAGAGTTTTATCCATTTTCCTCATTGCATCCTCATCATTATATTTCACCCATATTGAATTTATGCCTCACCTATCTTTTTTCCCAAGAAAAGCCCTGTGACTTCCCACCATGTTGTGTAGTTATGTATATGTGTGTCTCATCTCCCCATGTCACCATGAGCTTCTCATGGCTAGACCGAGTGTCTGATTGAACTTGGCAGCCTCTACAGCCCTTGGCGGAATGTCGGATACAGAATGAGCATTCACTACATGTTTGCGGGATTAATGAATAAATGCATAGGAGTGCAACAAAAGCTTATCAAGTGAAAAATGAAAACGATTCTGCCAATACTACACTAAGGTGGGCTGAGTAATTTAAGAAGATTTGTAGGGGGAATAATAGAGTCAGGGAGCATCCTTGCTAGTTAATTTCCAATGTCTAGATGGCATATCTGTCTATACACACACACACATTTACATGGACAAAATATGCCCATGAATGATATATTTGTGTCTGCTGTTGAAAACAAACCACCAGTTTAGATGATTGTGGTTTTGTACTGAACTGCTACCTAGTTTGGGGGGATCACATCAATATGACTGTGGTGATATGGCCTGCATTGAAGGGGCGGAAATAGCCAAGCATCTCCTTGACTTGGTCACATGCTATACTAGATAGAGTGGACAGAGCACTGGCTTTAGACTCAAACAGACCTATTTTCAGACGCTAGCTTTGCCAACTGTGAGCTGTGTGACATTGGGCAGTTTACTTATTCAGTCTTTAATACTTGAAGAATACATATTCTGCTTGGGTTACTAAAGGAATTAGTCTGGCACACAGTAGGTCTCAGTATGTTCTAGTTCTTATAATTAGAATTTCAGAGTGATTTCACTGAACTGTATGCCACACTCTAGTACACTATCTTAGTCTAGTGCAGTGGTTCTCAATCTTCCTAATGCTGCGACCCTTTAATACAGCTCCTCATATTGTGGTGACCCCCAACCATAAAATTATTCTTGTTGCTACTTCGTAACTGTAATTTTGCTACTGTTATGAATCATAATGTAAATATCTGATATGCAGGATGTATTGAGGCGACCCCTGTGAAAGGGTCGTTCGACCCCCAAAGGGGTTGCGACCCACAGGTTGAGAACCGCTGGTCTAGTGCATGATCTGCGAAACAGGGTTAGGTTTGCAAAAGGTTATTTATAGAGCAGGACTTGGTATATAATAAGCTCTTGATAAATATTAGATGTACTTGTCATTGTTGTTGAAAACTATTGCCACAGGGGCTGATTATTATTGTATTTTTATAGTATTTTTGTTAGTTATAGACTATTAGATATAATAGTTTGTAATATATTGTGAAGAAATATAATAATATTCAGCAAACCAGGCCTACTTATCCTGACCATTAACCCGCTTCCACCAGAGAATTCCAATTCCTCCTAGTGTATGTTTGTAGATGCCCCAGTTCTTCATCCTCATGGCACTTATCTCAATGTAATAAAATAATCATTGTACAGTCGTTGTTTAATATCTGTCTCCCTAATGGAGTGGATACACTGCAACTACAGGGGCCATATCTGCCTTGCTCACTGCTAAATCCCGACCACTCAACACAGTGCCTGTTCACTCAGTGTATTTGTCCATGGAATGAATGAGTGAATCAGTAAGTCAGTGAATATTATTATACACGTGCCCAGGATTGTGCTTGGCATGTAAATAAGTATTGAGTGAATGTATGTGCGACGGAACTGTCAATAGCATTCATTATAAGAAATGTTTCTAAAGAAAACTGCTACATCCTTACAATTACTCATCACAAAAAAAAAAAAAATGTTATTTTATGATAACATCTGCAGAACAGGCTGCTCATGCAAAGCCTTTTCTTCTCAGTCTCGCCTTTCCAACCAAAGCTAGGCACAAAACGGGCCCTCAGAATAGCTTTGTGTATTAAAAATTCTAATCATGCTCTTGACATTGTCAACATTTCCTTGACTTGCCATTGTTAAGGAACAAACAAAATTACCAGGGAAAAGAAAACATGTAGCTCTTTAAAACTCAAAATTTTTTTTCTGCATTAGTTATGTCTTTTCTTTTATTGGTTATGCACACATCTCAGACCTCATCCTTTTTTAAAGAAGGATTTGTGTAATTTATGTCTCTGCAATAAAAATAGGAACAAAAACGAGTCTACTTGGAAATAAATTGTTAAGATACAATAATTATGGCAGGTATTTGTCACCGGTAAATATCTTTGGACTCGTGGCAGCCTGTTAGTTTTTATCTGTGAAAAAGAAAGTAACTATATTTTTAGTTTATCTTCCTCAATTATCTTGAGGGCAAAATATGTTTTTTTTTTTAATTCTCCTATTCAGTAGCTCAAGATAAAATGCAGGTAATTAGCTCTTCCACATGGCTCATCAAAGAGATTCACAGTGCAGTAACAGTTTGGAAAGCAAATAAAGCCACACAGAGTGAGGCTATCGGGTCCAAGCTGCTTACTGGAGCTGACCCCAAATTCCCTCCACCTGTGTTCCTCATCCTTGCCCCTGACTCCCTCGCCATCAGTAACTACTATCCTGGACTTTTGGTTTATTATTTCCTTGATGCTTTTTCTAAACATACTTTAATCACATACAGATGAATCCCTAAAAATGGATTGTTTCATTTTGAATCTTTTTACACTTACACAATGGATTCATGCTGTAATTTTCTGGAACTGGCTCTTTTTACTCCGTATCTCTCTTTTTTTTTTAATATATATATTTATCAATTTCAGAGAAGAATGGAGAGGGAGAGAGATAGAAACATCAATGATGAGATAGAATCATTGATCAGCTGCCTCCTGCACGCGTGGGGATCAAGCCCGCAACCAGAACATAGGCCCCTACTGGGAATCGAACCATGACCTCCTGGTTCATAGGTCCATGCTTAACCACTGAGCCACTGTGGCCAGGCTCAGCCCATATCTTATTGCTAAGAGTCATCCGTATTATTGCATGTAGTTCTCATTAATATGTTTTACACTATATAATATTCCAATTGTATAAATATTCCACAATTTATTTTCCTTCCTCTTGTCAAAGCACCTTTGGGTTGTTTGCAGTTTTTGCTATTGTGAACAGTGACTCTCATAGCATATCTCCTGGTGTGTTTGTGGAAGACTTTTTTGAGAATGTACTTAAAACTGCTGGTCTTAGAGTATATAAATGTTCACCTATACAAAATTTAATGAGTACTTGAAATATCAAACTGTTTTCCAAAGGGATCATATCAATTTGCATGACCACGAACAATGTGTAAGTAATCTTATTGATCTGTCTTCTCCCACACTTGGCATTACCAGACTCATTATTTTAATCGTTGAAGGTAATTATAAGTTGTTATTGATATTTTAGTTATGCTATAGCATATGTTTCATGGTCTTATTATTTAAAAATAAACAAAATAAAAGTAAAAGAGGGTCAAGCATGACCAATGATGAGACTATGTCATAAGCCAAAGATTATAATTACAACCCACTTGTGTGTACTTCAGGTCTAGAGCAGGGATGGGGAACCTTTTTTCTGCCCAAGGCCATTTGGATATTTATAACATCATTCCTCGGCCATACAGAATTAACAGCTTGAAAATTAGCCTGCTATATTTAGTCAAACACTTAATTAACTCACCCCTGATGCCATGGCAGGTCCAGGCCAAATGATTTTGTGGGCCTTATACAGCCTTCAGGCCGGATGTCCCCACCCCTGGTCTAGAGGAAGGGCTCTAGCAGAGGCGGATAGGGGATCCTCACCCTGCTAAAGACCTCAAAGATGGCTTCCAGGAAATATCTTGAAAGGAAGCGCGGAGGCCTTGGGCTGTATACTATGCACAGCCCATTCCTCTCCTTTCCAGACTCATCTCCTCCGAGGGGCAGCAGATCGAAGGTAATCATACCTTAGATACATTTTGAGTCCTTTGAAGGCAAGATGGTGATGGTTCTCCCTACCCTTGTTCCCAGGCCTAATGGCCATGTCACACGAGTGTAGTGGCAACTTCTTAGGAGCCTCTCCAGTGAAAAACTCATCTGAGACTGTCTTTTCTCCTAGGATACGGCATCGGGCTCCCACCCAACTCTCCACTGACCTCCAACATATCTGAGCTGATCAGTCAATACAAGTCCCATGGGTTTATGGATTTGCTGCACGACAAATGGTACAAGGTGGTTCCCTGTGGCAAGAGGAGTTTTGCTGTCACCGAGGTAAGGGAAACCTGCGGATAACGTTAACGCTTTGTACAGCTTTACCTTGAAGAATAGGTGTTGGGTTTTTTTTCAAACTGAAAACAACCAATTCCCTTTTATAGATGTGAAACGAATACCCAGAGATCTTAAGTGATTTGCCCACGGCATACAGATAATCAGAACCTGCTTTCATGGCAATGCTCTGCCTTTACGATGTAATTATAAAGAAACCTGCAAAGTGAGCCAGAAATTGGATGATTAAGATAGGAAACTAAAAGGTGAACCAAGAGCCCCGAGAGCTGAGGCATTTAAAAAAGAAGCCAAATAAACCAGCACAAGGTCAGCCTGACATTTAAAAGAAGAAGAAGGAAAAAAAAATCTAAAGCCAACGCTAATGGCTTCAAACAGCTTGTATTTACCAATGACACCCAACTATGTATTTCAACACAGTCTCTTCTCCTGAGTTCCAGAACCATGTATCTGATTTCCTATTTGACATCCCCACGTGACTATTCTATAGGCATCTCATATTTAACTTGTCAAAAGCCGAATCCTTGATCTTCCTGCCTAACTGTGCTCTTCCTCCCGTGCGTCACATCTTGGCAAAGGTACCTCTGTCCATCCGTTACTGTTTCCATAAGCTGGCAGGTGTCCTTAATGCCTCCCACGTCTCACCCTCTACACCCTATATATCTATCAACAGGCCACATCTCTTCTTTCTATAAAATATGCCCCAAATATGCCTATTTGTTGCCATCTCCACAGTCATCACTTTAGTCTCCAAGCCATTGTCCCTCACCTGGGCCACTGTAAAAGTCTCCCCACTGGTCTCTCTGTTTTCATCCCCGCCTTTCTTCAATTAGTTCTCCACATGGTAGATCACGGTTCTGCTTAAGAACCTGCAATGGCCTCATGTTAATTAGGGAACAATCTAAAGTATTGAACATGGCCTGCAGTGTCCTGTGGGATGTGACCCTGCCTAAGTCTTCAGCCTCATCTCATGCCACTTTCTCTTAGATCATTACAGCCCCACCACTGGAGTCATTTTAGGTAGAGATACCCCAGTGGCTTCCCTGCCTTTGGGTCTCTGCACATGCTGTTGCCTCCTCCTCCTTAAATACTCTTCCCCCTGACACTTACCCAGCTAATGCCTTCTCATTATAAACTCCCAGCTGAAATCTCCCTTCTTCAGAGCCTGCCACTGTTCCTGATTCAATCTGAATAATATCTCCCTTTATATCTTATCTTATCTCTCACATTATTTCATAGCCCTTAGCATCATTTAAATTTTATTATTCATTAACATAGATTTAATCAGTTATTATATTAGTGTAGTTCTCCTTCATTTAGATTATAGGACCTCAAGGGGCAAACATGTTGTTTACTGTTCTGTTCTCAATGCCTGCTTCATAGTAGGCACTCAGTAAGTAATTGTGGAATAAATGAACCAGAGAAACCAAACAATATATATGAGAAGAAGTTGGGAAGCAAAAGGTCAGAACATAAAGCAAGTGTGATATTGGTAGTATATTAGGTTGAATAATGTCCCCCGCAAAGTTAATGTCTACCCAGAACTTCAGAATGTGACCTTATTTGGAAATAGAGTTTTTTCGGAGGTAATTATTTAAGACTAGAGGCCCAATGCATGAAATTTGTGCAAGGAGCTTGGCCCTCACAGGCCTGGTTGCCTTGGCCCTTGCAGCCCCAGCTGCCTTCCAGCCCTGCGGCCCCACTCCCTCTCCCCAACGCATAAGATGGCTATGCCACAGCGGAGGTGGGGTTCCTGTAACGAACTGTAATGAGCAATCAGCAAGGACCTGAGGCTGCGTAGTGGCGGGCCAGGTGGGGGGTACCTGAGGCCATGTCCCCCCACCAGTGGGGCTTGACAGAGGACCTCAGGCTGCACCCCCACACACACCTGGCAGGGCTTAACAGGGGACCTCAAGCCACACCCCTGCCCTGCGGGACTTGACAGGGGACCTCAGGCTGCACCCCCGCCTCAGCACCAGAATGGGGGACCTGAGGGTGTGCTGGGGGACTTGAGGCAGCATCCCCCACCTGGCGGGGCTTGAACAGGTTGGGGCCAGCTGGGTCTGGATCTCACCCAATGGGGGTTAGGCTGGCCAGGTCGGGGTCTTGCACGATTTCAAAGAGCACGCAGGTGGATGAGGACTTGACTCTGGGTCCCGTGGCGCACCCCAGACTCTGACAGGAGGAAGGTTTTCATATACATTTTACTAATCTTCTTTCATCTCTGATACCAGGCCACTAGTATAGGATAAGATGAGGCGATACTGAATTGGGTGGCCCCTAAATCCTTACAAGGCCATGTGTAGAGACATACAGGGAATAATGCTGGCAGTACAGGAGAACAGCAGGTCATCCACAAAAATCTGCTCTCCCCTCCCCTACCATAAGCCAGCTGCAATTTGAACAGACCGTCCAACCTCAGAAGGAAGGTGGGGACGGGGGGAGGATAAGAGATCAACCAAAGGACTTGAATGCATGCATATAAGCATAACCAATGGACACAGACAGTAGGGGAATGAGGGCCTGTGCTGGGGGGAGGGGGGCAGGAGTGGGCGTGGAGAGGTCAATGAGGTTGGCTGGCCGGCTGCACCCCCTGATCGGGCCGGTTCACTGGCCACAGTGAGCATGATAGTGATCAGTTGTTGTGGTCCTTACGGTGTTACAGTCATTGGCTTTTTATATATATATAGATTACTATACTATTTTCCATCTGAACAACTGTAAATAGTTCTAGGTTTGAACCCTACCAGCTATGTGATACTGGACATGTTACTTGGCCATTCTGAATCTCAGTTTCTGCATAACCATCAAGTTCTTGTTGAGACAACCCTGGTCCCGCTTTCCAGGTCAGCTGAATGTAGAAGTGAGAGAGAAGTGTAGGAAAGAGGAGAATGGAAAAGAGGTATATCCTTAGTTGGAACTTCAGAGACAGAAATAAAGAACTTCAGCCCAGCCCATGTGGCTCAGTGGTTGAGCATCAACTTATGAACCAGAAGGTCGCGGTTCGATTCCTGGTCAGTGCATATGCCCCAGTTGGGGGCTTGATCTCTGGTAGGGGGCATGCAGGAGGCAGCCAATCAATGATTCTCTCTCATCATTGATGTTTCTATCTCTCCTTCTCCATTCCTCTCTGAAATCAGTTATACATATACGGAGTAAAGAAGATTCTGATGACATTCATGTGTAGAGCTAGGAGGCCCAGCCTCAGCCTCAGGGGATGTTACGAACACACATGGAGCTCTTCTTTCTCAGGGATGGTGGTCTGCACTATGGCAGGTCCTGGCCTAGGCAATAACAAACTGCTTTTATGACACTCACCTGGTGCGTTTAAACAACAGCCCATATCCTTGTGGCACATTGTCTGGAACAATCCAAGACAGAATTTCAGGATGTCACTGAACCTAAAGATGGAATGGAATGAAATGAAGCCAATCCAGCTCATGGATTGAACTTCCACGAGTCTCCACCTGTTTGCTGCCTCTTTTTTAAAGCTTTCTCCTGGAAAAGGTCAGAAGAAGGAAGCATGCCTGGCAATGCTTTGCTTGCTGTTCTTTTAATCTCAAATATCATGCACTGCTGGGCTGTGTTAGTGTAAGAAACCAGGACTTATTTTGAAATCAGACAAGACATATTTGGGGCCTGCCTCTACCATCAACTTATCTGGGCATGTCCCTAATCCACCTCAGTCTCAACTTCTTCATCTCTTCAGTGGCTCTTGTGCAGAATAAATAAAATAGTCATTAAATGAACATGTCCCACCTCCTTCCCGCGGGGGTCAGGGAAGGGGTGCAGGGCACAGGGCAGCAGAAGCAGGTATGTTCTGGAGGGCATCTTACCTAACGGGTGCTCTTGAGGAAGATGTTTCTCTGTTTATTTCTTTTTAAAATATCTTTTTTTTTTATTATTGATTTCAGAGGGGAAGGGAGAGGGAGAAAGAGATAAAAACATTAACGATGAGAGAGAATCACTGACTGGCTGCCTCCTGCACACCCCACACTGGGACTGATTCCTGGTCAGCGCATATGCCCCAGTTGGGGGCTTGAGCAGTAACGTTTGCAACTGCAACTCAGGCATGTGCATCGAACCGTGACCTCCCAGTTCATAATTGACACTCAACCACTGAGCCACACCGGCTGGCTGTTTACTTCTGACCTTGCCTTCCAATTCTATGTCCAAGTCTATGTCTATTGCCACAGAGTAATTAACACCCCTTCACTCCAAAAACAGTATCCTAGTTCAGCTAAGGAATTATATGGTCACCTAGTAATAAGACATGAGAAACACCTTTGGCAGTTGGACATTAATACCTGGTCCCTTGTGAGAACCTTGATTATTCACCTCTCATTTCTCAGCAACCCCAGAACTGTCTGGCGGCGGTTTCTCTGGAGGAAAAACTCATTTTTTCCAAATTCCAGGGCTTTATCTCCTCCCCAGAGTCACCTAGGAAATTGCAAGTCCAATTCTGCAGACCAGACTCCAGCAATTTTCAGAGCGGAATTTTAAATTGCCCTTAGATGTTTCCTCACGATCCCCCCCACACAACCGTGCCTCTGCCCACAGTAGACTCATCGTAGATCAATTCCACGGGGAAAGCATATGGCAGGCTTTACATGTCCTTCATTTCCTTTGTCTCAGAACAAAAAAAAATTATTTTAATTTTTTTTCAAGTCACTGAGTGAATTTAAGAGCTCCAGGAAACATCTTGTAAGATCCGTTATTTACAAATCAGGAAAGGGAAGTCAGCAGATCACAGTTTAGCCAACTCCCCAGATTCTTCAAGGAATTATTAAGATACATGATGACACCTCTCTTCTAAAGTCTACTGTAAGTAATGGGCTGAATAACGTATCTTTAACCAACTGGGGATGGTAAAAAGGGAAGAAGGAACGGTGATCGTGGCACAAAATAAATATCACACTCAAACAGTCTGAGTAGAGTTCTCCAGAAACCATTTGCAAAGATACAGTTTAAGGAAACCAACCAAAAGA